TGGCACGATATACAAGGCTTTCCATAATCAGATCCCTTCTTTCCTTTTCTAACTCCATCTCATCTGCCTTCCTCAAAGTCTGCTTGCAAAATCTATTTCTTTCACCTCACCGCATTTTCCTCATCAGCCTCCTGGATTCTGAAATGCTGTTTATTCTCCCAGGCTGACATTTACTGCTCTCTTCTTGACGATCGCAATAATCCCATCACCACTGTGCCGTCTCCAGCTGCCCTTGGCAAGCTCCGGTGTGGACTCCACCAACCTAGGACTGTCCGCCCTTTTCTACCCTCCTTGTCTCATCCCCCCAGCAAATGGGTGAGAGTTTTCCCATGGTTCAGCGTAGTTTATAAGCAGGATCCAAATCGTTTGTTGATTCAGTAGCTAAAACAAAACAGATGAAGACTTCATTTATATACTCTGAGCTTTGCTCATTTATCCTGTACAAATGGAAAGTAGCTTTATTGCATTCAGGGAAAACCAGACTTGGAGCTTAACCAATGGCTTAAGGTAGAATTACATTGATTACACAACTTTTTACATGGGGGAAGAATTTGTATTTGATAAAGTCACAAATAGGCAATGGGTAAGGGCTCATAAATGTGTGAGGTGATTGAGCAGTGATATAAATAATACAATTGACATGGTATTTTATATTTATTTTTAGATAAGTGACAGCATATGGAACAAAGTGTACATTATTTTATCCTGGTAAGAAACTACTTCAGTCATTCAGTAATACTATTTAAATAGAAAACTACACTTTTCAACTGTTGTTTATTATTTATGAAAAAGAAACAGAACACGATCTGGCAGCTGATTAAACTAATAGTTAAAGACTTCGGGGTGAAAGGCTAACTCTGTGGTAGAAAAGAATAAAAACATACACATGTAAACATAGCCTCCGAATTTGCTAGGTCCCCATTTCTGCGATTGTTTTCTCTCTACATCCTGAATTCTCTGTGGGTTTTATTTTGAAATCGGTGTTTCTGCTATAAGTTTGATAAATGACATTCCAATGCTAAACAGCAAGCAACTGGAATGCCACATTTTTGAGGCATGTTTTCGCAGCGCAGAGGGGACTACATTCTAAATGTCTCCGCTGTTAAAGGCCCCTTCAGACGTGCCCCAAATGAAGAACACAGAAGGAGAAAGCTCTCCCTCCAGCCATTCATCTGATCTGTTTGGGCACAGTGACACTCTTTCAGCCTCTCTGTGGATACGTCGCACTGAGTAGTTCAAGGGTTTGCAGCTGCTTGGAAGATGTGAGCGTAAGCTATCTCTAAGTTCTCATCATGCACTTCCAGGGGCTGGCCAGTCCTCACCAACTGGCCACTGGCCACCAAGGCTCCGCTAATTAGCAGTAACATCATCATGATAACATCTGGTTTCTGAGTGCTCACTGTGGGCCTGGAACTCTGCTCTACATTTTCTACATGTTATGTCACTGGATGTTCACGCTTCTGATGTGTGGGGACCGACTTATCAAGTGTACGTCAGTTTTTTGCAGTACGGAAATTTGGCCAGCGGAGTCTTCTGCATTATAAACGTGACAAGCCCCGACTGTTGTTTTCGCTTACCTAATTGTTGGTGTGGAGTCCAGGGGATGCTCTGTTTTCCAAGGCAGGCAGCAGCGAACACTCCCGTAAAGAAACTGTTGGACAAATACCACATGTCTACACCGGTCGCATCTTCCAATCGGCGGAGTGTTGACAGACTGAAAACAAGCCACTGAGGGAATCAGCTTAAGTCAAACAATTGGAAGCAGGGTGTTGTGGTGGGTTACATGGCAGTTGCAATAACACGAAGTGATTGATACATTTGCATATGCTCAGAGAGTGAAGGCTATTCCAGGATAATAAAACAAGGCACTTTTATACATGTATCCTTTCCTCATCCGAATGTAATATCGATAGGACAGATAACTGCATCTGAATCAGTGTGTTTGTCTTAACTTTTGTTTTGTATTTTGAACCCTGTTTACTTCCCTAGCATTATCTCCTACCACTTGGAGCTTTCCCAAAAGCGGTTCATTGGATCTGTCTGGGCACAGTGACACTCTCCTTATGAAATGACTCGCAAGTTTCTGACCAAATTAAGGTCTTTCAAAATTCTGTGCCTTCGTCTATGCTGTTCCCCCTGCCTGGAATGTCCTTCCCGTCTTCACTTGTCTAACCCTTCCTCCTTCTTCAGGGCTCCCTTTAAATACCACCTCCCCAGGCAAGCACTCCGGGCGGTGTTCGTCACCCCACCCCTGCTGGGTGGCCGCAGCACCCTGAGCACACCTTCATTACTTCCTGCGACACATGGTGTTATAATTTCTGTTTTCTTGCCGGCTGCACTAGGTTGTGACTTTGTATGCGAGGTCTGTCTTTTTGGTTTTATTTCGGTTTATCCGCCCCTCACCAAGTCTATGCAGAGTACAAATTTAATGAGCCATGGTGACTGGAAGGAGTGAATGCATCCATATAAATCATGCATGTCGGTATTTTGTTACTTCCCCGACACCCACACACATACACACACACATATTCTCACTGCGTTCTGGTGTGTGCAGACTTCAAAAAGCCTTATCTGTGGTTTTTGTTTTCGCTGCGGAAGCTCAAGGTCACGATCTGGCAGAAGTGACTGCTACACGAACACACATTCACACAAGTGTCCTTGCCACTTGGAGCACAGAATGTGCTCGACGTCCCATCTTCTTAGTGGAATTTCAGGAAGGTTTTCTGTCAGCACTGTGAGAATGCTGCATGTTACACAGGAATATGGAAACATGAAGAAAAGTAAAGAATCGGCCCCGACAGCACGACAGAAACTGGACGGGAAGTCTGAGCTGTGGAAGGAACACCTGTGCCCACTGCCGAGTAGGATTTCAGGTCCAGCACATCTGGCTTCCGCTTGCCCATCCTGTCTGAGCTTATCATTGGAATCTCTTTTATAGGACATAGGAGCAGACATGTATTACTGAGGAGTAGGCTTTTGCAACTATGTATTCATTCCGTATTGAAGTTTCTCTCAAAATGGTTGATTCATTTTTTTTCTCATGTATGCATCATGTATGTGTTGCTATGCACGATGATGAAATCGTTCAGAAAGGCCTTGCACACCTTTGTCCTCAAACCCCCGGCCGTGCAATGCAGTGCAACATCCAGGAGAACCAGAGCTGGGCTCTGGAATAGACAAAGGCACAAGTCCCATCTGGGTCTCCTTCAAAGCAAGCTGCTGTTTTGCAACAAGCTACCAGATGGTGGTAAAAAACGTTCTTACCTGTTTACTTAATGGGTGACTGGCCTCTTTGCCTTTATTTAGCCATCTGTTCTGGTCTGTGTCCCTTTAAACTTGTAAGATCCATCACCTCATTTAAGCTGTTACCTTGACAGGTTGCAATGTTGTGGACATAATGCTTCCACAGAGGAGCAAATTAGAATGGTTTTTCATGATTAGAAGGTTAAATGAGGTAAGGCTGTGGTAGTTAGTGGTGAGATAAGGGGTTTTGAGGAGGCAGACCTCAAGGGAGTTTCAGGTGATTGAAAAATTAGGCTGTTAGACAGAGGGCTGGGGGGTTTTACAAATTACAAGGGCTGAGTAAGAGGGAGGACTTCCTTTGGGTGTCTCTGATTTCTGGGGGCTGCTTCTTCTGCCCAGAGAGACATTGTGGCCATGGGCTTGGGGAGGATACAGGGACTAACTCTGGCTTTCTTTTCTCCTTTTGGGACATCTTGTGAAGAGCAAAAAGAAGCCGATAACATCAGGAAGTGGTAAGCGGAAACACAAGAACCTCGAAAATATTTAGTCATTCCCTTAGGTTTGAAGAAGGATCGGGGCCAAGCCCAGCCTCATGGAGGGACGTTTTATTGTGTCTTCACCCTGGGCTTGAAGGTGGAGCTGTTCCTACGTCACCTCCAGCTCCCAAGTCCACCTTCCACCTGGCTCTTTGACAGCTCCGTCGGATCACCGACCAGCCGGAAACTAGGGCTTGGAGGGCCACGGGCTCTGCCTCTTACTCTTCATGTCAGTTCTTGCTCTGACTGCTCTGGTTTCTCCTGATATGACCGATATTATTACAGTTACTGCGACATAAAATATCAGGCATCTCTGAATTTTCTCTCTGCCAATGATGTCCTATCAGTAGCCAAGTTCTCTGCCTTTCACTTCAATTGAGTTTCTTATGTCTTTCTCTACCTTTTATTCCCCATCACTGCCCCAGTTTCCATCCCTCATTACCTCTCTCCGAGCCAGGGGAAACACCTCCTGAGTAGTTGCTCTGACCTTGAGTTTCTCCTGCTGCAAGCATGTGAAACACTGATGTTTGACTGTAACTTATAACAGTCACCTTTAAAAATTAAACAAACAAAAGCCTCTGTTGGTTTATCATCATCTGGTAAACTCCAGAGACTTCCCCGCTTGGCATCCGAGGGAATCCATAAAGTTATCGTTGGTGTTTCCGGCGTTTGTGTTTTCTCTGTGCCCCGTGGTGAGGAAGAGCCCCATGCCTTCTTGCCTTCTTGCCTTCTTGCCTTCTTGCTTCTGTGCTGTGTTTCTTCCACCTAGACAGCTCCACTCACACTTTTTTACTGATTAAAACTCACACATTTTATGAAGCTCAGTCTCCAACACATCTCTGCCTTCTCCCACCCCAATCAGGTACAGGTGCCCAGCTCTTGTTCCATAGCAACACATTTAGGGGGATGTTCTGATGCCGAGTGACATGCATTTCCCCTACCCTTATTGTTGGCTTTTCACATCTTACCTGTGCATATCCTGTAGCACAGGTCGAAGTTCTCTGCATGTGGAAGGTCCTGGATAAAGACACAGGATAATGATTGATAACGAAACTTGGTAAGATTGCAAAAAACCACTCAAGTGTTTGTTGGGTGCCTATATTATAGTATGTAAGGTACTGTGTCAGGGACCTGGGGTACAATATGACTAGTACATCCCAGTTCTCCAGGAACTCACCATTACGTGGAGGAAGAGTCACGTAGATCATTATACAATGAGAAATGTACGATAGAAATGCCTTCAGGGTATGGGAGCAGCAGGGTTTCTTACCTCTAGGACGGTAGATATGTTGGGGGTGAAGAGATGACGGTGGGGTGGGAACTGAGCAGTCAGCAAGGGCTACCTCTAGTTGGGAGTGTCTGTTTTGGGTTTTGAAAACCGAATATGAGTTGTCAAGGAAGAGAAACAGGTAAGAAAGGACAGGAATGCAAAGAAAAAATAATCCACGAAAACTGCTCTGCTTTCCCTCAGAGGCTCAGCACACCAAGGCGACCTGGTCACGGAATAATTATTTTCTGTTTCCAAATAAAAATATCCTAAATGACAGCATCCTTTGATACCCTTGAAAGAGAAAGGGAGAGGACTAAAGGAACCTCTGTGACTGCTTTTGGTTGAAAGTCATTTATTCATTCTTCTCTCCCTTTTTTAAATGTTTTGCAGAGAAAGTCTGTGATTGCAGTGAGCTTCATAGCAGCGTTTCTCTTCCTGCTGATCGTGCGCCTGGTAAACGAGGTGAATTTCCCATTGCTACTAAACTGCTTCGGACAACCTGGCACAAAATGGATACCATTCTCCTACACATACAGGCGGCCTCTTCGAACTCACTATGGCTACATAAATGTGAGGACGCAAGAGGTAAGAACTCCGAGGATTACCTAGGATTCGAGGGTATCCATGGTAACCGCTTTTCTTTAGGAGGAAGATGGCTTCCAATCACTGAACTTGCTCTCTCTGTCCCACCGAGCTTCTTTGGGTCCCTGGTGTTTTCTCTATTCTCATTCTTAGACATTTAGTGACACATGTCTAACGTCTGCTGCCCCTCCCACATCAAATCTTCTGATTCACTGGCTTCATGTGGCGTTGAGGAAGCAATTACCTGTTTTCCTGGTGATTTGTGGCATATCTTTCCATGCATTAACTCTGATCTGCAGTTACCAGCTAGAGAACTGGCTGGCTTTATTTCCTGGAGGTCAACTGGTTGGGGACAGCTCGCTGTAGAATTGCAGAAAAGCATTTATGCTTTTTAAAGCACTCTAATCCTTTGACCTGGAGTTAGAAAAGGTCAAGGTGATTTTCACATTTTCAGTGGCTGCAGAGATAATGGTATTTAAAGAGTTTTCACATTTAAAGGGGTTAAAATCATCTAAATGCTGTAATCACGGAACCTCTGGGTCTTTGTAGCCGATTGGTGGTTCAGAAGAGAATGGAGGCATGTGGACAGCTCGGAAGTGCACACTATGCTAGCACTTCTGCAAGCAAGGGTTTGCACCATGGTGTGAAGGGAAAAATAATGAACCTCACAAAATGTGTGAAGTGAATCGAAGTGATTAATAAAGTGTTTTCTCTGTTTCTATGCAATGAGGTTAATAGTCATAGATGCAAAGTCCAAGCCTGTTTGAAATGGTTGGTAACAAAGGTACAAGCCGTCAGTGTGTCTGCATCACTGGGAAGAGTTTTGGATCAGATCCCATTGATCTAGTATCATTTTGTAAAGATACTAGAGAAGAGAGTTGTGTACAGAACGCTGCTTCTATTCTTAGCATCCAGGGAGGGATGTTGAAAGCTGGTTCAGTTCACCCCCTTTGGTAGGCAATATCATACCTGAGTCTTTGCATTTGGTTAATTTGATTTTTTGAAAATGGGTTCTGTATCTGCAGGATTTACAGGCTTTTTATTAGCCCTTTATAGTTTAAAAGGAAAAAGGCACCATTAATAACACAAATTCTTAGGAGGCTTGCTTGATGTTTATCCTTTAATTGGTTTCAAATTAATTTTTTAAAAAAGGGCCCATTGCTTGAATTTGTTACGTGTCCTAATAAATTGATTACTTGTAAAGAAATGATCTCAGAGACTAGTTTGTCTCACTCTCAGGTTTCATTACTTTTATTTCTAGCTGTCAATTAATATTCTGTAACTCTACTAGATCCTGTTAATCACCTCACAAGTGCCTTTCACAGGCAGAGAATGAAACATGTGACTAAAGTATTTCACATATTATTCTCATGAGGGAAATCCCACCCCAAAGCAAGGACTCTTTTATTTGTTCAAATATTAATGGGTTGGATTTTGAAGTGTGAAGGGAAAAACTGACCTGTGGAGGTTGTTATTAAATTAGTCATTTTAGCTTAGCTACCTTTGATATTCTTTTGGTGTCGTTTTTAATATGACTTTACCATGGGGATATTGATCGTTGTTTTGATCCTGCAGAGGCTATTTCGTGGGAGGAAACATGATTCCTGGAAGTAGTTTTTTTAGGCTTTAAAGGCACACGGGCATGGTCTGAGTGAAAATAGGATAACATTATCAACTAGCAAAGTTATTACGAGGCTTAAGTAAAAAGTGCATGAGGTGCCCAGTTCCAAATGATGTTCAACCAGAGAGAGCTGTTATTTCCTTTTCCTATGCTTATCAGTCATGACTTGAAGTGCTCAGTATGGATAACACTAAACTACCAGAATCCAGAATAATAGACTTGATATTTAAACTTTAAAGAATCAGGATTCAGCACATCTCATTAGAAATCAAGGTTTTGCAACTTAAAACCACAATGAGAAGAGAAAAAAATGTACAAGGAGGTATAACTGCACACTAAATACCAGGTTGGCAAAAAAATAAGAATCGGATAATACCAAGTGTTGGTGAGGGCGTGGAACAACAGGAACTCTTATATACTGGTAGGTGGTATATAAACTGGATCAACCATTTTGGGAAATACAGCTTCCTAGTAGGTATAAAGTTGAAGTTCTACATACCCCATGCCCCAGCAATTTCAGTCATCGATGTATTCACTTAGACACATCCACGAGCTCACAGTGGCACATGTGGACAGCACTGTTCATCATCACTAAATCTGGAAGCAACCCAGCTGTCTATCAGTAGGAGAGTAGATTAAAATTATGCTACCTGCAGTAGAATACCATCCAGCAATAAAAATGAAGAACCAGTAGCTCTATGTGACAACATAGATACATCTTACACAAACATAATTTTGAGCAAAAGATGTAATAAAAGAATATACACAGTATGATTCCATTTATAGATTATAAGAAGAGGCAAAACTAAATGATGTTGCTTAGGGACACAGATAGCAGGTAAATCTAAAAAGCAGTAAAAACTTAAGGAAATTATCATCATACAAATGAGAAGAGCAGTTACTCTGAGAAAAACATGTGGTTTGTGAGAAGAGAAGTGTGACTTCCTGGGACATCCGCAAATATCCTATCTCTTGATTCAGTTGGAAGTGACATGGGTGTTTGCATTCTAAATATTTTTTAAATACCCATTCATGTGGTATGAACTTCTCTGCATGTCTGTTTTATAATAAAAAAGTTTTAAAATGTATTCTGAGCCCTGCAGGATATTTATTGACCAGTAATCACACACAGCATTTCTCCTAATTTAACAGGAAGAAATAACTTTGTTTAAGCTAGCTAAAATAAACTAGAGATATCTGACACAGACAATTTCATTTTATGCAAAAACTAGCAGATATACAGGTAACTTCTTCTAGTCAATGCACGATAGGCCTCGTATTATAATAGGAGAGAAAGGGATGGGCAGAAAATTTACATGGGAGTTGAAAAACAACATAAATAAAAGGATAGATTTCCCTTCAACTCAACAGTTCTAGGCCTAATTGACAGGACAACAAAATGTCAGGGCTCTCTACCTCCCTCCTCGTTGGTGTCATCTTCCCTTCTCACAGCCCCGGCCCCTGCCACCCTCGTGTCTTTAGCTCACTTACTCCCAAATGCTCTGTGTGCATTGGTCCTCATCCAGTGATGGCTTCCGGTGCGATGCTTTGCAGAGGTAGCTGCATTAGATAAGATTCAGGAGGAAAAGTCCTCAAGAGCCAAAGTAATATGGACAGTTTTATAAGTGTTGGATTGGATATGGCAAATAGTTTCCATAGTAACCTTCAAACCTTGCTCCAAAGGCAGCCACACACTCCGTGTCCCTGTTCACTCTATTCTTATCCAGAGAAGGGTCAATCGCCGTGACTGAGCTGAGTCAAGTGAACACCAAGCTGATCTATTTAGTTGAAGATTTTGGTTCTTGGGGTTTTCTCAGAAGTTTTTCAGAAGAAAACACATGCTTCCTAGAAACCAGCAGACTTGCAAGAGATTTTTTAAACATGTAGACATGCGAGCAATGATTTCCAGATCTAGAGTATCTGCACACACGATCATTATCGGTGATCGTTTCATTGGCTGATGCTTCAGCAGGACCAGGCATTGCTGTCACTAGACAAAGATTTTATGAGTGGAAACATTTATGAGAAAATACGTCTCTCCACTACCGTCAAATGCAAGGTGGGGGTGGGGTGGGGATGGCTGAATTAGGTTGAAGATTTAGTGGACACCGTGCATAGCTGGGTTGCTTGGGAGCAAAATCTGATTCTCTCATTATCTTAAAAAAGAGAGAGAGAGAGAGAGAGAGATGCGTTCTGATCCCTTTGGTTTGGCCCAAGTGGAAGTAAAGTATAGGCAATCTCATTAATCTCTGACAGTCTGCCCTGAAGACCTTACATATATTAAATTATAACCAGTTCAAGCTCAGCTTCATTTGATCAATTTACCCAGTTTTTGAGTGATCTGTTCCCAAGGAAAGTACAAGAAGTAAAAGTATAAGGAACACCGGAAAGATAAACATGTGGACTTGCTTATATTTTACATTGTTAGAGCATTTTTTCCCCCTGAGTCAGACCCATAAAAAGGAATATGCTGTGAAAGTTATGAGGACAATTCTATAGGATTTAGATGGAAAGAATTAAAATACCCCTCCCATTCTATAATGACAACTTAAATACGGGCAGTGGGGATTGGCTCCCATCCTTTGCCCTGTCTCTTTCCCTTTCTTACCCAGTGTGGGCAAAGTATATTTGGGGGAGGGGAAGTCTTGAGAACCAGGGAAGCAGAATGAGTGCCAACTCACTGGGTGCATGCTAAAACCCTGAATTAACTGGCCACAGAACCCAGGATTCCTCATCAGTTCTGTGTTTGCGTTGACAACGCCATGAGGTAGCGACGCTCCGAAGTCCGGACCAGGAGTGCTTTAGATTTTGCAAGAGGGCCTATACTTCCCTTTGCTCCCCACCCCTGCTAATTTCCAGACCCACTAGCTACTCAGACTTGCCCTGCCAAGTCATCACTACATTAATAATGCAACCTTCCATTTAAACAGGACTAAATTTAGGGGACCCCACCTATAGATTAGGGCAGAGTTCCTGTATTATTGACTGACCTTGGACATAGTAAAAAGCATAACCCCATAGGGTTTGGGACGTGGGGGGCGGGGGCTCTGTGTTTAGCGATATTCTGTGAACTCTGCTTTTTCCTTAATGCAAATTTTAATGATCCATTTTAAATTAATGAATAGTAGTGGATAGGGAAGGTGTAAACTAAAAGGTACTGCGGGACTTAGTTCAGGGGAATCATTGTTTTGCCCTGTGGTGATCATGGCAGATTTTGAGGACACAGAAGGAACTGACTCTTCAGGCTAGATTTTGTTTGTAGTTTCCAGATCCTGGAATCAGTCACCCTGTTGTTTTTATTGTTGCTGCTATTGGGTGACCTGGTGTGAAGAATTGCCCTGAGCAAGTAATCTGCAACTTATCTGCAGTAACCACTAGATAA